TGCCCGGGACCAATTGCAACATTTCTGGGCCTGCTGAGTTTCCTCATCAGGCCCAGGACACAACACTAACAATAGCAGAATGATAGGATTAGTACCAGCAACTCCTCACCCATCCAACACAAGACATAGCCATCAGCCACAGCCACAGAGAAGCAGGACATGACCTTTAGGACATAATAGGATTAACACACCACCATCAAAATACAAAAAGGGCACACTCAGACTCAGATCAAAGTATATGACACAGGAAATACAAAGCCACAGGAACCGGAACAACTCCAAACACAAAAGCCCAAGAAGGTATAACAACCCACCACTCCCAGCAACATGTGGTGAGCTGCTTCAAAGCCACATGTTTTGTGGTTCTGCTCTTCAATAAACTACAACCTTCTTTCTAAAGCAGTCTCCATTTTGTTTATTCCCAGTTTGGACTGGACCCTGAAGATTTTTCTTTCAACAATAGTATTCCTACTAAAAGCTTGAATCAACAGCTTGCAAAGAACTCTGAAATCAGGCCATAGGCTCTACATTCCTACATTTGCCCTATGTGCATGTAAAACATGCACATGGTAAGTCCTTACTTCATTTCTTAAGCTTGCAAAGGATCCCACCTTCGTCGCCAGTGTTAAGTTCTTCGTTCGCGTGTGAACGATGAAGACTCATGGTGACCACAACAACTCTTTATTCTCCTTCTCCAACTCCAAGCAAAGAAGCAAAAGGCACGCAGGCCTTTTATAGGGCTTGAAACCCAGACAGAGTGAACCAATAGGAATTCTCCTTTCTTCGCACCTTGCGCATGCGCACAAGGCTGGCGCCGCTCTGTCTGGTCCCGGGCAGCTTTTAGAATGCCCGGGACCAATTGCAACATTTCTGGGCCTGCTGAGTTTCCTCATCAGGCCCAGGACACAACATCCCTCCCCCCTGGATAGAACACACACAATTCCAATTTTGTTTACAATAATAATAAAATAATAATAAAAAATAATATTCTGCTCACATGCAGACACCCTTCTATAACTAACAGGGTTAGCAAACCAACCACTCTCTAATGTGGACTTCGCATGTCTATCTTTTACCCAACATAGGTTCCATCTCCTTGACCTAGACCTGTATAGTCCCTTGTGTTGACAGGAACCTCACATAATTGCCTAGATGCTTAGGAGGGACCTTAGCCCGTTGCGACCTACGCAAGGTTAGGGAGGGGGCCTGGCTTGTCAGCTCACCTGCTCGGCTAGGCAGACTAGGACTTGTACTTAAGGGCACCTGGCCTACCGGCCCGTCTGGTGGGCTCGCTAGACCAGGACTTTTATGCACAAATTTTGCAGGTGACCCCTGGTGAGGCGTGCTGGCAGAGTTGCCAGGGCTCTCCCCAGGCTCCTTTAGAGCAGCTGAAATTCCCCAACCCTCTGAATTGGCTGAGGATTCCCCAACTACCCTGGATGGCTCCAGGGAACTTAATCCCTCGAGCTCGCGACCAGTCTCGGACGTGACCTGCGTTGCAGGAGTGCCCCAATAGTTCCAGTCCCCTGTGGCCGAAGCGACAGAGTCAGGAGCCGCCTCTATGGCAAAACCCTCCTCAGGTGAATCCCTGTTTGGAGCTCTTGCGGATATGCATGACTCCCTGTTCGGCGCAATAGCTGAACCGTGAAGATGCCCTTGCTCCACCCCTGGGAAATCCCTAGCGTCCTGCGGTAATTCCCAGGAGCAATGAGGCTGGGTCTCCCAATGTTGACCTGAAGTGCGATCTGGCTCCTGGGCCCCCTCCCCCTGAGAGCAGAGGCAGGGGTGGAAACATCATGGGATAACCGCCAGCGCAGTTGATCGATGTGACACCGCAGGACGCAGCCATCTCCCAAAGTCACTTCGTATGATAGAGGTCCAGAGATCTTACAGATGACAGCAGGGACCCAGAGGTGTCCAGGACCATAGTTCCTAGCCCAGACCGGATCGCCCACCTGAAGTCTCCTAGGTGCCCGTGGCTGTGACACCTGTGAAGACATTTGGTCAGGGTGCAGTCTATCCAACTTAGTAATGAGGTGGCGACCCCAGCGGAGTTCAGCTGGGCTCTTCCTGGTGGCAGTGCATGGTGTGGTACGGTGTGCAAGAAGGAAATCTGCTAACCTGTGATGCCAGTTGCCGTATGTTAGCCGTTTGAGTGCGTCTTTGGTGGTGTGCACCATTCTCTCCGCTTGCCCATTGGTGGAAGGGTGAAAGGGAGCTGACGTTGCATGCCGGATCAGGTTGGCCTGAAGGAAAGCCTGGAACTCACAAGATGTAAATTGAGGACCATTGTCAGAGACAAGCACATCCAGAAGGCCATGGTTTGCAAAAATTCCTCTTAACAACTGGATGGTCCTGGCAGTAGTAGTGGAGGAGACAGGTACAACCTCTAGCCACTTGGAATGGCTATCCACAAGGATAAGGAAGAATTGCCCCTGGAAGGGCCCAGCATAATCTAAATGTACCCTTGACCACGGGGTATGTGTCTCCTCCCACCTGTGTACTGGGGCCTGAGGCATTTCAGGCAGTGATTGTTGGCACACTTGGCACCGGTGCACCTGAGCTTCAATAGCTTTATCAAGCCCAGGCCACCAAAGATGGCTGCGCGCAAGCGCTTTCATGCGCACAATGCCTGGATGTCTCTCATGCAGAGAGGATAAGACCCTAGACCTCAGTGAGGCTGGGATAACTACTCTACTCCCCTATAATAGGCACCCATTAAAGGTAGACAGTGCGTGTCTGCCAAAAACTTTGAAATGTCGCATCTGGACACGTGTCAGGCCATCCTGACAATACCCAAGTCAGCGTGCAAGCGTGTGATCAGTGGCGGTTTCTGCAGCCACGTCCCTAGCATTAAGGGGAGATTCAGGCAACTCTTGAATAGAAAGAATATTAATGGCAGGAGCAGGGTCTGGCTCTACCTGTTTCAGAGGTAATCTGCTTAGGCCATCTGCATGGCCCATCTCTTTTCCAGGTTTGTGAACTAGAGTGTAGTCATATGCTGACAGGAAAATGGACCATCTCAGCATACGAGGAGAAATGATATGAGGTGTCTGTTTGTTGGTTGTAAACAAACCCAGCAGAGGCTTATGGTCTGTATAGACCGTGAAGCGGCGGCCATATAAGAAATCATGGAATTTCTTTATGTCAGCCACTATGGCCAAGGCTTCTCTGTCAATCTGAGCATAATTTCGCTCTGCAGATGACAGAGTCCTTGAATAATAGGTCACAGGGACTTGTGTCCCATCAGCCTTAAGATGACTAAGTACTGGTCCCACCCCATAAGGAGATGCATCGCATGCGATGCAAATAGGCAGTTGCTCATTGAAATGCGCTAAAACAGCATTGGAAGTGAGCAATGCTCACTTGAAGCTCCTGTCATGGACTTTAGTCCACTGCCATGGAGCCTGCTTGTCTAAGAGCCTATGTAACGGCTCTGCCACAGCAGCCTTATGTGGGAGAAATGCATGGTAAAAATTCAAGAGTCCGAAGAAGGCTTGTAACTCACTCTTGGACTTTGGACTTGGGGCCTGCTGAATAGCTTGCAATTTGTCTTCAGCAGGGCGAATGCCTTGGGCATCTATCCTGAAACCCAAGAAGTCAGTTGAAGTGACTCCTATCTTACATTTATCCTGCTTTAACTTAAGGCCTGCTTTGTGAAAACGAAGCAAGACAGCCCTTAATCTCTCTGCTAGATTTTGAGATGACTCCCCAGCAATGAGGACGTCATCAAAATAGGGGCAGACCCCAGGAATACCTCGAAGCGTGCTCTCCATTACACTTTGGAATATGCCAGGGGCTACATTTACCCCAAATTGCAATCTCTTGACCTTGAAGGCCCCCCCTGTGAGTTACAATAGTCTGGGCCTCTGCAGCTGCCTCATCAACAGGTAGCTGTTGATAGGCCTGTGCCAGGTCAAGTTTCGCAAAGATGCGCCCCCCCCTTTTGAGGGAGGCCAGAATGTGGCTTACAACAGGAACTGGATAAGCGTGCTGTTGCAACGCTTTATTCAGTGTACACTTGTAATCTGCACATATACGTATTTCCCCATTAGCCTTTAGAGGCGTTACTATGGGGGTTTCCCATGGACTAGAATCCACAGGTTCTAAGATGCCCTGCTGGAGCAATTTGTCCAGCTCAGCATCTATTTTACCTTTGAGGGCAAAGGGTACCCTTCTAGGCTTGACCCTGATGGGCGTGATAGTTGGGTCTAACCATAGCGCAATGAGGGGCCCTTTGTAGGATCCTAGCTCTGAAGTAAACACATCTGCAAACTCCTTGCAGACTTCTGCAAGGCCCAACGTTTGCAAATGGTGCAGCCCAGTTACCTGGATTCCCAGAGCCTCGAACCAATCGAGTCCAATAAGACTTGTATGTTCACCCCCAACTACCACCACATCTAGGAGACCTTCAAAATCCTTATGCTGTACCCTAAGGGTGGCCTCCCCCTTAACACACACCACAGAATTTTGAAAATCAGTAAGTATTAGACTCGATGGCATGAGTTTAACTCGAAGGCCATTAATGCTGCAGATCCTTTTAAATGTGTTAATTGAAATAATTGAGAGAGCGGACCCTGTGTCCAACTCCATTAATAAGGGAACCCCTTGCAACCTTATGTTAATGGAAAGTTTCTTCTTAAGGGGCTTGTGTGTCCCTGTTCTCAGAATACTCCTGCGCGATGAGCAGAAACCCACCCTGTGTTGGCTGGGGACCCTGGTACCTTTCTGAAGCAATTCTTCCTGAGGTTGGACCTTCTGGCGACCCAAACAGACGGATGCGATGTGGCCTTGCCTGCCACACGCCCTGCAAATGGCAGAGTGGAACCTGCAGTCAGCTCGCTTGTGGCGTCCTCCGCACCCAAAGCATTGAAGAGATGCTGAGGCCTTGTCCGGATGTCCCTTCTGCCTCCTCTCAGCTGGCTGGTGAAGTCTGTCCACCTCTTCAGGATCCACTTCCAATCCTTCTCGAGCGTCCTCTTGATGGACGGTAGCTGTGTCTGGAGGGTTCCTGGCGAGCCGCAAGGCCTTCACAGCCCCGCCTGCTGCTTCTTCAGCTGCCACCTCTCGTAACACGTCTTGGAAGGAAACATCTTCTTTTGCAAAGATCTTCTGTTGTAAGTCTCTGCTCCTTAAGCCACAAACGAAGCGATCTCGCAGCCTCTCTTCCAGATCCTTGAACTTACAAGGCCTGGCTGCTTGCCTTAAGGCAGCAATAAAGTCCGCAGCAGATTCACCCGGCCTCTGGTCTCTCTGCTCGAATGCATGCCTCCAAGCAATGACGGATAACTTCGGCTGGAAGTGTTCCTTCAGCATCTTTTTTAGATCAGCATATGTTACTGACTCCAGAGGTGCAGGGGCCATCAGATTTTCTGCGATGTCAAAAGCTTCTTGTCCACAGGCACACAAAAGAGTTGCTGCCTTCAGGCCGTCTTCTCTTATCTGATTTACTCTAAAGTAATTCTCCACCCGTGCTACGTAGGAATTCCATCTCTCTGGGTGGGAGACATCAAAATCAGTCAAGCGGCCAATCTTCAACATCGTAAAGTTTACGACCTTCACCAATCACTTCCCTTACAAGCTGATGTTTGGGAAAGGGTCCTTTAGCTGAGCTCACCCCCCAGCGACGCTGTACTGGCAGGCTGAGACGCTGATGCAGACGCCGTCTTCCCTCATCAGGACTTCCTTGGTAAGTCCTTACTTCATTTCTTAAGCTTGCAAAGGATCCCACCTTCGTCGCCAATGTTAAGTTCTTCGTTCGCGTGCGAAAGATGAAGACTCATGGTGACCACAACAATTCTTTATTCGCCTTCTCCAACTCCAAGCAAAGAAGCAAAAGGCACGCAGGCCTTTTATAGGGCTTGAAACCCAGACAGAGTGAACCAATAGGAATTCTCCTTTCTTCGCGCCTTGCGCATGCGCACAAGGCTGGCGCCGCTCTGTCTGGTCCCGGGCAGCTTTTAGAATGCCCGGGACCAATTGCAACATTTCTGGGCCTGCTGAGTTTCCTCATCAGGCCCAGGACACAACACTAACAATAGCAGAATGATAGGATTAGTACCAGCAACTCCTCACCCATCCAACACAAGACATAGCCATCAGCCACAGCCACAGAGAAGCAGGACATGACCTNTTTCCTTCCCTCCTGCCCCCCTCCCTCACCCCTGATGAAGAAATAGTGTTCTTTTAAAATATGAGAACTGAACTCTGGGGCAGAGAGCAGTCTGAGATTGACTACTGAGATGATCCATTCTGATTCAGAATGCAGCTGTGTGCACAGTGTTGTGTGATCCAAAGTTTGCCCATTTTACACCTCTATAGCCCAAGCTGCATAGTTTCCTTCTGAGTGCAATTCAAAGTGCTGATTATCACCATTAAAACTGTACATGTCATGGGACCTGTTTATTTGCTGAAATGCCTCTCCCTGAGAATGTCTGCCTGTCCTGCCATATCTGATAGGTTAGTCACATACTCGACATTTTCCCCCTGAAATCCTATCACCGTCCTAGTGGGACCTCAAAAGTGTGCCTTTTCCATGGCTGCCCCTACTTTATGGAATACCCCATTCTTTTAGCTTCAGAGAAGGTCATCAAGACCTTTTTTTAAAATCCAGGCACTAGAACAGAACAGAATAGAATAGACAGGATTAAATTAGGTAATTGGAACTAGCTGCAAAGTATTCAAAGTGTAAGGTGCAGGGGGTTTGCTTTTGACAATTTTATTGCTTTATTACTATGTTTTATAGTTACTGCATTTTATTGCTGTTGTGAACTGCCCAGAGTTGTTTAAGATAGGTGGCCATACAAATCTTCTAAATAAATCAATAAAATCTCTTCTAAATGGAAGCTTGATCTGCCATAGTGAGTCCACTGCTTAACTATAAACCAATGTAAGTTCTCCATAGCATTTTTTCCTGGAAAACGTCTCCCATAATCTCACACTGTGATTTCTCAGTATGAATGTTGAACACCTGAACAAAGCTATTTGTCTGTTAAAGAAACAAGAGTGGCAGGAAAGCAGCAGAGTATCTTGGCCAAGGACCAGCAGATTGAGGTACATAGAAACCAACGGACTCAGATCAGGTTGGTGCAACTCAACTGCTACATCGAAATAATTACCTCCACAAGAGTTTCTATTGTGAACTTTGGGCTGTTGAATCCCATTGCTTTGTTCACGTTGGCTACAAAGTAATACAAAATACCTTTGAGGTCATCTGGGTGAGCAGCGACAGGCTGCCAAGGGGAAGTAATTCATGCAGAGGAATAGCTCATATAGACAGCAATTACAATCACCTTTTTAAATGCAAGATGCTTTTATCCTTTATCACTCATTTTCTCAGTTATCCGGGTTGTTTTTATTTTCTTGACAAAACTTCTATGCATTTTGCATAATAGGCAGACAGCCAGGAAAGAACAGATAAGCAACGTTGGAAAGAAGCAAGATAGAACTTACTGAATGTCTGCCTATTACAGGTAATCCTTGGCTTATGAGTATTCATTCAGTGACTATTCAAAGTTACAGAGGCTGTGAAAAAAGTGACTGATGGCCTGTTTTCACACTTAACGACTGTTGCGGCACCCCCATGGTGACATGATCAAAATTTGGGTCCTTGGCAACTGGCATATATTTATGACCGTTGCACTCTCCCAGGGTCACGTGATCACCATCTGTAACCTTTCCAGCCAGCTTCTGACAAGCAAAGTCAACGGGGGAAGCCAGATTCACTTGGGAACTGCACAGTTCACTTAACAACTGTAGTGATTTGCTTAACCAGGGTAGCAAAAAGATCGTAAAATGGGGCAAAACCCGCTTAACGATTGCCTTGCCCAGCAATGGAAATTTTGCGCTCAATTGTGGACATAAGTCATAAGTGATTTGTTCAGTTTTGATGTAACATCTTATGTGAACTCTGCCACCAAGGGTTTTAACTTTTAAGCCATGTTTACAGTTTAGCGTGATGTGTGAACAACCTTCTCGCTATAGCCTCAGTAAATCCCTAGACTCAGGTGAATGTGCTTCTGATTCATCTCTGTATATGATGTACTTTCATGCCATATACTCACCACACAACTGGGCTCAACAGAAAATACAGTCTAGTGATCTGGAAGGATCTCACCTAACCTGTTTTCCTCTGTATCATTTTTTTTTTACCTTTTTGAATCTCGGCATTCGCTGGAAGTGTCCTGGGGATGGCGGGACATTGGACTGGATTTCCCTGAGAAGCCACTCTGTGTGTTCCCACTTGGGGATTCTTGAGGTTGTCTGTTGTCTTGTCTTCTGCTATCATGCCCTGAAAAATCAGCGTCAGCATCTCGGTGCTTCACTTTGTGATGTCTTGAGCTGCTTCTCTGCATGCTACCTTCTTGGCTGGTCCTTTCCTCAAGCTTGCTCTGCTTTCTGATAGTCTGTCTCCCCAAACTCCCAGCGCCCTTGATTCTTTCATCTTCAAGNACAAACAAACAAACAAAATAACCTGCATTTGAAATTATACATATCTTCCACAACTGGTGGCTTCCAGACCAGTTATAGTGGACTGCAAGTCCCTGAATTGTGAGCAAAAATGCTGTTGCAGAATTTTGGGAATTGTAACATCTATACATTTGGAGACTATTGAAGTGAGAAAGGTTGGTGACTGTAGAAATAAATCAAACCAGCTATGGATTCAAATAGCAAATTGTGTGTGCAAAAGTATTTTTAAATTCAGTAGGAACTTTTTCCATAGTTTTCTATGACTGCAGTTTGACAAAAGAGCTGACTAACAGATTCTACTGAGAAGGAAGAATTGTACCCTATTTTAGGAATGTGTATAAATTCTAGTGCTAAATAAACTAAATTTAAGCCAACACTAACTCCATCTTTGCCACTTGAACAGATTGAAATAATATTCCACAGTAACGGATTTTCAAAAATACAGTAGAAGAGCTTTATAACTAAAAAACAGAAGTATAATAGAAGCATGTGCTATGGCTTCCAATTTTGCACAGTAGTGCAGCAGCTGAGGGATTGTGGGGCTCCGCACCCTATGGCCAATTTCTGCCTGCTAGGGAACCATAAATGAGCCTGAAGTTGCCTCGTAGAGGCAACAAAGAAGGAAGGAAGTCCCTTCGATTGCAGAGAGATGGCAATCAATCCGATCGGTCCGGGAAAAGCCCTCCAGAAATCAGCAGGAGAAAAGCTAGCTTAATTTCAGAGTTTAGCCCAAGCTACAAGCAGCCGAAGCCCAAAAGCACTACTTTAAGCTGACTGTAAACAATGTGTTTGGAACTGGGTAAGAACAGTGATTTTCTCTCTTCTACTTGAAAATTGATTTCCTGGGGGGGAAAAAAGAAAAAAAGAAAAACCCCAAGAAGAAAAAAACCTCCAAAAGTGAGAAGGAGAGGGATCTGCCCCACCTTCCTGCAGACGGAAGCGGCGAATTAAACTTTTCAGGGGGAACAGAAATATATTGAAATGAAATGAATATAAGACTTAATTTGGATAAGTTTGAAATTGGTGGAAACTGTTAAGATTTTCCTTTTAAACCATGAAAATAGAAGTAAATAATAAAAGTAAACAATTATCTATTACTGAAAAATGACCTGGTGCTGACATCTAGTGGTGGATGAAAATACACAACAGCAGTTGCTCTATCACAGGAGTTGGTATAGCCCAGGAAAAGATAACTTATTTCTGGTGACCTTCAATGTCTTAATAACAGAGAACAGCTGTGACAAAAAATGAGAGAACATTTTGGGCTATTTTTAAAGTGAGAATTATAAACTTTAGGAAAAAAAGTGACCTTTCTGGATTACAAATACCAACTCAACCATGACTCTAAAGCTATCTGCAAAGAAAGGAAACCCCTGATTTTTGGCTATCATGGGAAATCAGAGATCTGCAGAAAGAAAACATCAAGAAAAAGCAAATAATTTCCAGAAGGAGATATATGCTATGGTGCGACAAATCCAAACAACAATGATCTCAAACCATGAGGAAATTAAAAATAACTTTGAAAATATAAATGAACAGATTTTCAATTTAACTTTACAACACAAATTCTCGGAACATAAAAATAGAGACCGAGCAGAAAAAACAGACAACTGAATATGAGACAGAGGATGTTCTGGCAATTTCAATTCCCTCTATCACTTCTTCTCTATTTGTAAGAATTAAGTCCAGTATAGCTTTATGTCTAGTTCCCTCCTCCACCTTTTGGGTGACAAAGTTGTCAGCTAGGTTGGTTAGGAATCTGAGTGATCTCCTGCTCATTGCAGGAGTTTGTCTCCCAGTTGATATCTGGATAGTTGAAGTCTCCTGTTACTACTGTGGTATGCTTCCTACATACGTTTGTTAACTGATTGGCAAAGAGTTCATGTATTTCTTCTGATTGGTTGGGTGGCCTGTAATATACACCTATGGCAATGTCACTTTTTTCCCCTTTTATATTGACCCATCTACATTCTGGAGAGATTTTATCTTTGATCACGTGCATTTCTGTAGATATGTAGTGTTCTCTTACATATAGTGCAACTCCCCCTCCTCTTTTTGTAGACCTGTTTCTTTTGAACAATTTGAACATCAGTCCATTCCATTCATGGGTTTCGTCCCACCAGGTTTCTGTTATGGCAACTATGTCATACCGTCCCTTGTGTACTATTGCTTCTAGTTTACCCTGTTTGTTCCCCAAACTTTGAACATTTGTATATAAGTATGTAAGACTTTTTTGCCTGTCTGTGGGTATGTTTCCTGCATCTCCTGATTGTTGTTTGAGTTTTTTTCCTCATCACTGCTTACCTCATTGTTTGATTTGTTTTCTTGGGATTTGTGATTGGTGTTGGGTTCTAGAGATTAGTCACCCTTCCTCCTCAGTTTTAGTTTAAAGCCTCCTGATGAGTTGGGCCAGTCTTTTTTCAAGTACATTTTTGACTGTTTTCGTGAGATACAGCCCATCCCTTGCCATGAGTCCTTCACATAGGAAATGCAGTCCATGATCCAGGAAATCAAAGTTTTCTTGGCAACACCAACCCTTTAGCCAATGGTTTATTTCTAAAATTCTTTTTCCCCTCAATGGGTGTTGGCCTTTTGTTGGGAGTACTGATGAGAACACTACTTGTGCTCCTAGCTTCTTAACTTTATTGCCTAGTTGTTTGTAATCTCTCACTATTGTACTCAGGTTGTTTGTTGTGTCATGGAGGAGGAGGAAAGGGTAGTAATCTGTAGGCCTAATTATTTTGATTAGGTTCTCAGCCACATCTGATTTTTGCTCCAAGGAGACAACATACCTCCCTGGATTGTATGTCTGGTCTGCAGATGGATGATTCTGTTCTTTTGAGAATAGAATCTCCTATTACCAACACTCACCTTCCTTTTTTGAGGTGCTTCTCTGTTTATCTCAGGTGTGTTTGTTGAGGGATATTTGAAGGGATATTTGAAGTGACCTTTTAAGGGATATTTGAAGTGACCTTTTAAGGGATATTTGAAATTGTTTCTTTGCTAGGTGTCTGCATGTTTTCTTTGAGGGGAGGTTGTGGATCTGCGTGTTTCCATCTAAGGGGAGAAATTGATTGCTCAGTTTTAAAGGGGCTGCTTCTGGGTGGGTAGGATTGGGCAGAAGGGGTTTGTTTGTTGTATGCTGTTTCTTTCTTTGAGTATTGTGTTTCGTTCTGTGTGTGACATACCTCCATTTGTCTTCCTCCAAGGGTTTATCAGTAGGGTCAAATCCTCTGGGAGTTATTTGTTTGTTATTTGGTTTGGTTTGGGTGGAGCTTTCTTTCGTATATTGGGGTTTGGCTAGAGTTGTCTCTATGTTCCTAACCTTTTCCTGTAGTAGTTCATATAATTTGCATCTAATACATGTATAGTTTGGGTGTTCTTTGGGCATGAGCACATACATGGAATATGTATTGCATACCACAATAATATCAGTTACCTGTTCCAGGAGTTTGTTGTTTGAAAATCCCTCCTTTTCATTGGTGGATGTGCTTTGCTGTTAGCCTTGTTTCTAGTTTCTCTATTCTGGGTAATTATGTCTATTTTTCTATCTTTTTTTCTGCCTGTTTGTACTACCTTGTTATTTATTTAACCTTCTTACTATGACTTAAATATGAGTCAACTGTATACAGCAGCAGCCAAAAAAGCCAATGCAATCCTAGGCTGCATTAATAGAGGGATAAAATCAAGATCACATGAAGTTTTAGTACCACTTTACAAAGCCTTAGTAAGACCTCACTTGGAATACTGCATCCAGTTCTGGTCACCACAATTCAAAAAAGATGTTGAGACTCTGGAAAGAGTGCAGCGAGGACCAACAAAGATGATTAGCGGACTGCAGACTAAAACATATGAAAAATGGTTACAGAAATTGGGTATGTCTAATCTAATGAAAAGAAGGACTAGGGGAGACATGATAGCACTGCCCCAATATTTGAGGGGCTCCTACAAAGACGAAGGGGTCAAACTATTTTCCAAATCATGAAAGGCAAAACAAAAAGCAATGTTGGAAACTAACGGAGAGAAGCAACCTTGAACTAAGGAGAAATTTCCTAAAGGTTGGAGCAATTAAGCAAAGGATTAGCTTGCCTTCAGAAATTATGGGTGCTCCATCACTGAAGGCTTTCAAAAAGAAATTGGACAACCATTTGTCTGAAGTGGTATAAGGTCTTCTGCTTGAGCAGGGAGTTGGACTAGAAGATCTCAGAGGTCCCTTACAACTCTATTCTTCTATGCTCTGTGTTTTAACATCAAGAATTGGTGGAGTTCTACTTAGCATGCATACCCCATTTTTCTGTAGTTTTAGGGCTGGAATGGCTCCACACCTATGATCTGCATAGCATCTGATCTGAAGGCTCCATCATTTTTAAAGCATGTGGTTGCAAAACTCATATGAATTTATCTAGACTCTAGAGAGATTTTAGCAGCTGAACTCATCAAGAAATTTTGTCCAGACTTATCCGCCAAGTATGCTGAATCCCAAGATGCAGTCAGAGAAAAGAAAGTAGATCAACTGCCTTCTCATAGACCCTACGACTGTCCAATTAATCTTGTTCTAGGGCAAAGCTTCCTACGCATTCACTTTTCAGAACATGAACTAGACGCTTGAGACTTTACAGGTAAAATCTGGAAAAGAAGGTTTATCCAGCCATATATGTCTCCAACTATCCCTCCAGTGCTAATTGTAAAAAAGAAATTGGGAAGCTCTAACTCTGCAGTGACTTTGGGGCTCTCAATCAGATCACTCAACCATTACCCACTGTCCCTCATTTCGGAACTGCCTTTGTACAGCCAAGATATTCATCAAGCTGGATCTGTGGGGTGTTTACAACCTAGTATGAT